TGTGTTGTGTGTGTGTGTGTTGTGTCTCAGGTTGTGTGTGTGTGTTGTGTGTGCGTTGCGTCTCAGGTTGTGTGTGTGTGTTGTGTGTGCGTTGTGTCTCAGGTGGTGTGTGTGTGCATCGTGTCTCAGGTTGTGTGTGTGTGTGTTGTGTCTCAGGTTGTGTGTGTGTGTGTTGTGTCTCAGGTGGTGTGTGTGTGTGTTGTGTCTCAGGTTGTGTGTGTGTGTGTGTGTTGTGTGTCTCAGGTTGTTTGTGTTGAGAACAGAAGGAGGTTTGCAGTGTCCGCTGTGAGTTTCTCTGGTGATTAATGATCTAATGAATGTAGTTTGTTTTTACAGTTCCTCTGAGCAGCGGAGTATGATCCTGTAGAAACATCTGCAGGCGTTTCGTGTGCAGGATCTGCTCTGGATCTACAGCAGCACGTCTGCAGTAATGCTGAACGCGCAGCACTCAGGGAGATGTGCAGACGTGCTGCGCTTGTGCAAGTGTTTGCAGATGTGGAGGTGTGCGAATAATCTCCAGTAGATTCTCAGAACTGGTCTCTGTAGATGAAGTGTGAGCGCTCAGTGTTAATCTCTCTGTGTGATTTGTTTATTATATCTGCTGGTGTGTGTGTTGTTGTGTCAGACGTCTTCATTAACACAGCTGGAGCTGATGGAGGCGTGTGGTGTGGCTGCTGAAGGGCTTGTTGATGTTACGGAGGTTGACTGAGTGTGTTTAACTTTGGGCCAGTGCGATGTTGGTCTCGAGTCAAAGGTCACCGTGGCTCATGTGGGGGGCGTAGAGGCCGTTACTGATGCAGTAAAGTGAATCTCTCCAGTAAATCAGTGGCTGTTATCAGTGACAAGCATCCTGGGATGTTTGCGTCTGACCTCGACGCTGCGCTCGTCTGATTGTTTTAGCTGCATCTTTACTCTTTCATCACAAACACACAGCAGACTGCAGCAATAAATGAGAAATAAACCTTTACTGCTGTTTATCCCACAGTGCATCTGTGCAGAACTCCTCATTGCTTTACACACACACACACACACACTCAAACACACACACACACACACACACACCTGTGAGACAACACACACATACACATACACTCACACAACACCAGAGACACAACACACACACACAACCTGAGACACGACAACACACACACACACACACACACACACACACAGAAAGTGTCATAAAATCTGAATTCTCTTCTCATCTCGTCTGCTCTCGTGTCTCCTCTCAGATATTGTGTGTAAGGTTGTGTTTGTGTTGTTTCTGTGTGCAGGATGATAATGAAAACTGTACGTCTAGTTCGACCAATCGCAGCGCCTCTGAGAGCTCTAAGGCCGTGTCCAAACCTCGACGGGTGCAGCAGGCCCCCAGCGACCCTGACCTGCCCCCAGGTGAGTGATGTTGTGAAGGCCGCGGGGCCACGGTCCCTCCCTGAGGAGCGGCTCTTATCTGGAAAGCCTCTTAAAGACCCCCATCAGAGCTCAGCACACTGTTTGTTTTCATTGAAGCTTACACACACACACACACACACATTCCTCTTTCACTCAATATGCCATAATTAACTTTATATGCATTTTTTGGTTGTGAATATCACACATTTATTAATTTAGTGAGTTCTAAAATTCTACACCTTAATTGTAATTCTAAAAATTGTCTAGAAAAGTACAAGAGTTTGAGCCGTAGCTGCATGACAGTGTAAGTGCTGTTCACAATGGCAGAATCACAGCCAACGACCGCTAACCTTCCTCCACATCCACTGGCATGTGTTCAGGGATCGGCTCATACGAGATAATTTAATGTCATGGTAGATACTTAAACTGTCTGGTAATTGACGTACCTAGTCTGAGGTTAATTGTGCAACGAGTGTGAACACTGGGCTCGGTGTGCAGCTCTGAAATGAGATTTGACTGCGGGTGCAGCGTAACGACACATGATCATGATGAAAATGAAACTATGCAAAATGTCTCTGCTGATTCTGACAGCTTTTTATTCAGATCGATATTTAGATGGTTTGAACTCAAGCTGTCAGTGTTTTTGGTGCATTGATTCTGTGAAGCTTAGAGCAGGTGGCTCGTTCCTGTGCATCGAAACACATTCACGTCTCGTGTCTTTATTCTGATGTGCTCCGCGGGCAGGAAGAGGCCGGTGGAGTCTGAGAGCCGCTCTTGGCTCGAGTAGCACATAAAGCAGTTGGTTTTTCCAGCTATTTTATGACTGGAGTTTTTCGTCCCCACGGGCCGCAGCACAGGTGCAGCTGAAGCAATAGTTTACAGAGAGATGAAGGCGGACGAAGGGAAAGTCGGCCGCTCCGCTGGATAAATTGGATCCAGAGAGCACTAACAGGGAATGACTTTATGACTGTGAATGCAGGTGCAACACACACACACTGACCTGCATGTTCGACACACACACACACACACACACTGACCTGCATGTTCGACACACACACACGACTGACACACACACACACACACACACACACACACACTGACCTGCATGTTCGACACACATGCACAACTGACCCGGCGGTAAATGTCGACTGCACACACACACACACACACACACACACACGCCCGCATGAGTGATGCCCACAGGAAATGAAGCACAACTGGGACCCTGCGGCCCTCGCTGCTGCTGTAAAACACTTATTTGTTCTTCACCTTATCGTGAGGCTTTGAGTTTGTCAGATTATGATCCGCAGTGCTCCAGAGCTCATTAATAAAACGCAGTGCCACTCGCACAGGAAGACAAACATTTGAGTTGGACAACAAGGAAAAAGCATTAAAGTTTTATAAGTTGAAGTGGGACTGCGAGCGTTCAACAGGGCTCCATAATGCCATTGGACCTGCGGTTATGACCATTTATTGCTGTATATTTTAATATTTTATTGCTGAAACTCTGGTTCTTAATGTTTTCAGTTCTTTGGTGCTTTGTTGAGTAATGACCTTAGACCGTGGATGCTGTTCAACTGGAGCTTCTGGTCATGAGGTGCTCTGTTCATACACGCACGCACGCACGCACACATGCACACACACACACATGCGCATACACACACACACACAGATGTTGAATTGTTGATGTATGTACATTAAGGCTGCACAATTAATCAGTGAGATTGTGATTATAGCTGCAATGACCTAATCCTGAAAAGTGTCAAGCATTTTGTTTTTGTGGGGACGGAACAAAAAAAAGAGACGGAACAAAACGAGAACGTCCCCAGTGTCATTAATGGTGCAGACGCTGTGTAAAGCAGATTTATTGAGCGTTTACGTGAGTGCAGGACTCGGCGTGCTCCTGCTGAACTGATTCCGGCACTGAATAATGGGATGCTGTAGCTAGGTCTCTGTGTGGAATTTATTTATTCACAGTTTTGCACGCTGCTGATCAATGCGATGTGGACAGGTCTTGATTTACTGATCTGTAAAATTACGTCTGTCCTATAGCGCTACATGCCGTTGACCCACACAGAAGAACATCACAATGAATCATTGCCTTTACAGTATCAAGGGGAAATAATGTACATAGAGACAGAGCGACACGTGTCATTACTCTGAGAACTACGCCCACTGGAAGAAAACGTAATCAGCGACAGGAAACATTAATTATTTTAATCATGTCAAAGGATTATTTCTACACCCGATGTGAACCTGAGAGGAGGAGATGTACTGAGAAACTAAATTTTATTGGTCTATGTCAGTGCCCCTTTTCCTGACCTTCCTTTTGTTTGAGAAATGATCTAACTGAATGAAATACCTCGACATCTACAACTATTTATGTCCTTAAACGCTTGTTTTTTGGGTCAACAGATTATAAAAACGTAGTTCTGGGTTCTCCTTCAAACAATCGCTCGGTATCTCACTATGGGAAACGCCCCAGGCGTGATAGACTATGGAAGCACCAATTACACCACGTCAGTCCGAAGGACGGACCAATCACAGCTCATGACAAGGAGCCCACCCCCTCCCTATATATACAGCTGTGATCCCCGAAAACGGCATTCTTGTTCTCTTCCCCGTGAAGACTTGCCTTTAGCACCTGTTCTGCGCTGCTTCAGTTCACAAATGTACCATCAAAGTAAACGTTGCCGAACGCAGTGCAGTTAAAATCTATTGTGGATTCTCTGCTCGTTACGGAGTTTTTCCTAGCTAATGCGTTAAGGCGAGCTAAGATTATTCTACTCATCATGTCGGGGTCCAAGGTCACAGCGGAGAAAGGGAAAGATGTCCCTTCGCGCTCGTGTCCGGCAGTTTGTTGATCTAAATCTCGGGCAGGGATACGCATCCGATGTTTATCACGTGCATAGGTGTTAAGCATGCTCAGGCCGCACTGGCGGATGCGGAGAGTTGCGTGCACAGTCGTGTAATGCTGGCCAGGATCTTGGAAAGAAGGTTTCGGGTGGCTGCATCTTCTAAAGACCATCCGGTTCTATCTTCTGTCCCTCCTTCGACAAAGGGGGTCCAACCCTCTGGATATTATGGATTCAGAGTCTTTTCGACCAGCAGCTGCTTGCGGAAGGCAATGAGGTGGAGGGAGACAAGGAGGAGGATGAGGAGATGTTAGCTCTCCTCCTCCGAGATGAGCCGGATGATGAGGAGGATGACACTATCCTGTCTGCAGCTCAAGCGTCTAGGCCCGTGAGCGTGCAAAGCGGTGACGTGGCGTCAACAGTGGTAGATTTTGACCTAGTGGAAGTTTGTAAGCGTACGGAAGCTAAGCTTGGCCCGTAACTCCTGGGGATCCTGGAGTTAAACGTGACATCTATGATGGGAAAAGGCTTCCTTTTCGCCTTCCACCGGCGAAACAACTGCTTCCCGCTTTGCCGGCGTGTGTAGCAGAGATGAAGCGATCGCGGGACAAACCCTTTTCTCATCATGTGCCCATCAAGGGATACTCGTCGCTCGGTTCTCAGGTTTTCCTTTCAGAACGAAGTGTACAAATTTGTTACTCTTCCATTTGGGCTCAGCCTCGCTCCTCGCGTGTTCAGCAGGTGCATAGAGACAGCGTTATCACCGCTGAGACACAAGGGGCTCAGAATATCTGCTTATCTGGACGATTATCTGATATGCTCTCACTCGCGGGAGCACGCGGAACGGGACACAGAGATGCTAATGTCTCATCTAACAAGTCTGGGGTTCAGAATCAACTATGCCAAAAGCCAGCTGATTCCATCTCAGGAGATCTGGGCTTACAAATAGACTCTGTGGCATACCGCGCTATGGATAATGGCGTTTTATCAGTGCCTGGCCCAGTTTCGCAAGGGAAATTTGGTATCATTCAGGACCTGTCTTCGCCTTTTGGGCATGATGGCTTCGTCGCTGTTCGCGGTCCCGCTAGGTTTGCTGAAAATGAGAGACTTCCAGCGATGGGTGGCAGCGAGACTGGTAGCAGTCTGTGTCCTAGTCGGCACCTCGCACGCAGAGTGAGAATACACACGGAGTGCGTGATGGCTCTTCATCAGTGGAGAAATCCCTGTTTATTCCAGACAGGGGTTCCCATGGGGGGCGTGTCTCTGAGAAAAGTAGTGACAACGGAATCATCTCTGTCGGGCTGAGGGGCTGTTTTTCAGGGCAGATCGGTAAACGGTCGCTGGACGCCCCAGCTTTGCAAACTTCACATAAATATGTTGGAGTTGATCGCAGTCTTTCTGGCCCTGAAACATTTTCTCCCATTCTTGGAAGGGTTTAATGTTCTGGTCAGGACAGACAACACGACGGTGGTGGCATATATCAATCGCCAAGGGGGAACGCATTCGTTACAATTGTACAATCTAGCGCAAACTGATTGTCTGGGGCGCGGTGCTCAGTACCAGGAGTCCTAAATGTAGGGGCGGATCTCCTGTCAAAGGGCAACCTGTTATACGAAGAATGGGTGCTCCACCCGCAGGTGGTGGATCAGATTTGGGGGATGTACGGCAAGGCTGCTGTAGATCTCTTTGCCTCGAATGTGCAAACAAAGTGTCCACTGTATTTCTCTCTCAGGGACGAAAATGTGCCTTTGGGAGTGGATGCGCTGGCGCACCCGTGGCCGAACGTGTTGCTTTACGCATTCCCTCCGCTGAGTCTAATTTCTCCCACCCTGGAAAGAGTAAGAGAAAATGGATTATCTCCCCTTCTGATAGCCCCTCGTTGGCCGGGGAGGCTGTGGCTGGCAGAGATTGGCTGCTCCCATTGCGCCGGGACCTGCTGTCGCAAGCGGGGGGGTAGATATTTCACCCACACCCGGAATGAGTCGATCTTTGGGTCTGGCCCGTGAAGGGTTAAATTTTATACGCACTGGGGCTTCCGCAGGAGGTTTTAAACACTATCCAGAGCGCTACAGCTCCATCAACGCGCTCACTGTATGGCCTTAAATGGCATGTGTTTGAGGACTGGTGTACTTGTAAAGGAGTTATTCGAGTGAGGCGGGACAGACGAGACGAGTGAGGCGGGGCAGACGAGACGAGTGAGGCGGGGCAGACGAGACGAGTGAGGCGGGGCAGACGAGACGAGTTTTGTACATTTAAACTTTATGCAAGTTATTTGATATTTTATATTAGGCATAGCCTGCCCTATAGCATGGTGTATTTTTATTTGTTTAGTTAATAAAAGTTCTATGTTTTATATATAGGCTAAAGTGAGTTTGACGTTGTATTTTGATGTTGCATTCAAGCAATTGACGCCTGACTGCCACTAATTCTAAAGTGAAAGTAAAATGCGCACGGTGCTTTTAAGCTATTTAAAAGCGAAGGAACGCGAGGAGAAGAGGGAACGCCATACTGCCTAACCCGGCTTTCGTTCCCAAAGTCAGTGATTTAGCTTATAACTGCTCTGCTTTGGAGTTGCGTGCCTTTTTACCCCCCTCGTTTTTCTTTAGAGGTGGAGCGGAAATTGCACACTTTGTGTCCTGTACGAGTGTTAGTGAGATACCAAGCAATTGTTTGAAAGAGAACATTAGGTTACTTGCGTAACCCTGGTTCTCTGAGAACAGAGTGAGTTATCTCACCAAGCTTCCCTACTCGCATAACACGGGGGAAGAGCGTGCTTGGAATGCCATTTTCGGGGATCACAGCTGTATCTATAGGGAGGGGGTGGACTCCTTGTCATGAGCTGTGATTGGTCCGTCCTTCTGACAGATGTGGTGTAATTGGTGCTTCCATAGTCTTATCACGCCTGGGGCGTTTCCCATAGTGAGATACCTCACTCTGTTCTCAGAGAACTGGGGTTACGCAAGCAACCTAACGTTTTTTGGCTTGTTTGCTGTACACCTTGTCACACAGCAGCTTGTAGACATCGTTCTGATTTTTGTTATAAGTCAGAAATGACAAGGAGGCAGCTTTCCGTAATACAAAGTCAATGGAGAGCGTTGGATTGTTTTACCCCCGGTGTGGGCGTGGCCTAAATGCGCTCTGTCTATGTGCGTCAGACCCAGATGGACATCTTTGCTTGTGTCAAGGTAAAGTAGTAAACCTTCAAGCGTTTAATTTGTTCCTCCTGCTGTCTGTAGGGTACGTGCAGAGCCTGATTCGGCGAGTGGTGAATCGTGGTCAATAATCTGATTCTGAAGTATGTGGAAGATGACATCTTGTTGTCGGTCAACATCACGTCTGCGGAGTGCTACACGGTGGACGATCTGTGGGACCGAGCCTTCAGAATACAAACACAGGAAGTTGTGCTGTGTTGCCACAAGCAACCACTATTTAGAGCAGTGAAGAAGAAATACAAACGTGCTAGCATTATGTCCGCGGTTTGGCAGTATTTCAGACTGGACCAACCAGCCAGTAAAGCGGCGACATGTCTCATATGCCATACTGCAATTTCTAGGGGTGGCACAAGTATTAGCAACTTTAACACGAGTAACTTAATAAAGCATTTGAAGACATGTCACCCCGTAGAACACAATGGTTACACAAAAGCTAGGGCAGAGAAGGATGAGCCATGCCAGACTCAACAAACTTTGGAAGCTTCATTCAAACGAAGAGAAAAGTTTTCACAAGACAGCCAACTAGCGACAAAGATAACCGACAAAATTATCGAGTTTATTGTTCTGGATGACCAGCCACTGTCAGTGGAGCAGTTGGAGCCCCGGTACAGTTTGCCTGGTCGCAAATACATCTCTGAAACAGTGCTTCCTAAGCTATATGAGACAGTGCGTGAACACATTTCATGTAAACTAAAAGATGTGCAATCAATCAGCTTTACTACCGTCATCTGGAGCTGCGACGCGACCCCACTGTCTTTACTAAGTTTGACAGTACACTGGGTGGACACGGTGACGCCGTCATCTTTTACTATTCAAAGTGCAGTGCTGCAAGCTAACGAGCTTCGTGGGTCACACACCGGCAAGTCCATAGCTGAAGCAATTGAGGGGATGCTTGTGAGATGGTTACACAAAAGCTAGGGCAGAGAAGGATGAGCCGTGCCAGACTCAACAAACTTTGGAAGCTTCATTCAAACGAAGAGAAAAGTTTTCACAAGACAGCCAACTAGCGACAAAGATAACCGACAAAATTATCGAGTTTATTGTTCTGGATGACCAGCCACTGTCAGTGGAGCAGTTGGAGCCCCGGTACAGTTTGCCTGGTCGCAAATACATCTCTGAAACAGTGCTTCCTAAGCTATATGAGACAGTGCGTGAACACATTTCATGTAAACTAAAAGATGTGCAATCAATCAGCTTTACTACCGTCATCTGGAGCTGCGACGCGACCCCACTGTCTTTACTAAGTTTGACAGTACACTGGGTGGACACGGTGACGCCGTCATCTTTTACTATTCAAAGTGCAGTGCTGCAAGCTAACGAGCTTCGTGGGTCACACACCGGCAAGTCCATAGCTGAAGCAATTGAGGGGATGCTTGTGAAGTGAAATATCTCTAAGTCCCATGATCATGTTTGTTTGTGCGACAACGCGAGCAACTTGAAAAAAAGCCATGGGCGAGATGGGTGTGTCGAGTTTGGGGTGCTTCGCACACTCTCTCCAACTGGTGGTACACAAAGGCCTGTTATCACAGAGAAGTGTGAGTGATGCTCTGGCGAACTGTAGGAAGATAATCGCCATTTCAAACACTCACCATTGGCCACAACACGCCTGGAGGATATTCAGAGGGATCTAAAAATCCCCACCAAACGTTTGCACCAAGATGTGGCGACAAGCTGGAATAGTACTTTTTATATGGTAGAGAGTTTACTTGAGCAGAAGAGGCCGATTTCAGCATACGGAGCTGATCACGACCTGCCAGCCACATTGACAGCCAACCAATGGGCTTTGCTGGAAAAAACTGTCACTGTTTTGGCACCATTTGAGGAACTGACCAAGCAGATTAGCTCCTCCACCAGTTGCAACTCTCTTGGATCCACGTTTCAAAGACAGGTATGTCTATTACAATTTTTCTTCATGTCCATATTGATTATTGTCATAGCCACATTGAGTATATTAGTTCACTTTTTGCACCTAATCGTTTAATAATTACTAATGCATTAAGTCTGTGACCACACCAAAGGCTACTTTGGAGGAAGTTATTTGTTACATTTATTTATTGTTTTTAATTATTGTTTATTTTAGATACTTCTCAAGTGCAGACAACATCAAGCATGCAAAGGATGCTCTGACAGTAGAGATGGAGAAGATTGAGAAGTCACTGAAAATGACCACCACAGCTGTAGCAGAGACAATAGCAAAAACCCCAAGAAAACGGCACGATTGGATTGGAAGTGCAGGTAGGCGGCAGCAGCTGCAGTGAGAGTAGCTTGAAGGGCCTGTTTGAGGAAATCCTGCAGGAGCATGATGAGGAAATGGTGCAGGTACTACAAGCACACCATGTTCAACTTCAGACATATGTGATGGAGCAAACTATCTTACACTCAGACAGCCCATTCCAGTACTGGGCAGTCAACCAAGTTCGGTTTCCCGCTGGCTGCCACTGCTGCAAAGTTTCTCTGCGCACCTGGTACCAGTGTGGACAGCGAGAGACTGTTCAGCACAGCATCTAACATTGTGGATGCAAAGAGAAACCGGCTAGGAGGAGAGAGAGCAGAAATGCTCATTTTCCTGAAAAAGAACTTGCCATTGTTATTGAAATTGTGAGCATTTCTAAGTTCCCACAGCAGTGTGTAATCTAGTTTAAGTTACTTGAAATATGTATATTTTCATTCTGGGTTTAATAGTGCTCTTGTTGAATCTTAACTTGTTCAGTTGAGGTTTATTTTTGTACTCTATTACTCAAGTCTCTTATTCCACTACATTGTGGCTGCAATTAGTGTTTTTTTTTAAAGAACTAAGATTGAGTATAAGTTACTGTTGCGCTTTTTTGCACTTTTGTATTTAAACTGAAATGCCTTTTATTTAACAAAATTGTTTCTGGACTTTAAGTTTTAAAGAGATTATTTTCTTATATTATTCATATTTACTTTTTTTATATTCTTAGATTTACTTGTTGCACTGTTTTTTTATACAGTTATATTGTAAAACTAAAATACCCGTTTCAGTTTACAGTGCTAGATTTGTGGCTGCATTTGAAGTTCTTTTTCACTTAAGAAAAACAAATAATATTACTGTGAAATGTATGTCAGATAATAAAAAATACTCTAGTTCACTGTATGTATTTGTTCATGTTTTTTTTAAGGAATAAGTCTAAAGCACACAATAAAATAATTATATCAATTCATACAGGGCTTGTAGTACATACAGCTGTATATACAGGTACACACCCAGGTATCGGATCAGTACTCGGTATCGGCCAATACCCTGAGCCCAGGTATCGGGAAGGGAAAAAGGGTATCGGAACATCTCTAGTGGAGAGTCTGAAGCTCTCTCTGATGGACCAGCAGCTGCCCATGTTCATCCGGCTGATGGAGCTGGGTGTCGCGCTGTATTACGGAGAGATGGGCGTCCATCGAGACGCAGAGAAGGAGGAGAGCGGCTCGCTTCGAGAGAGCGTCTCTGGTGAGTGTCTCATTCTCTTGAATGGGTTTGTTTCTGAGGCTGTCGACTCGCTGGATCAGATGAACTTGAGCACCTGTGGTGAAGACAGTCCTTCTGTCTCTCTCTCTCTTCATTCGTTTATTGCTCTGGAGACTGTCACGTGTGTCTCGAAGCTTCTCAGGAGAGAAACGGAGCAACAGAGGCTGAGTGAGAGATTTAATTAAAGCGTGTCAGAGTGTCTGTGAGAAGACGCTCGCAGTGAGATTACACTCATTCCAGTGCGCTGACAGCAGCTGATCTCATCGTGTGCCGCAGGTCTGATGGACGCGTCCGATCCGGCTCTGACGGGTCAGTACTTCCAGGGCGAGGATGAAGATGAAGGCTTAATGTCGTGGGCCTGGTCCTTCGTCCCGGCCATCGTGAGCACCGGAGAGGAGGAGGGCGAGGGCGAGTCTGGCCTCTACACGGACACACAGGAGTCTGGAGCCACCCAGTGAGTGAGTGTGTGTGAGAGTGAGTGAGTGAGTGAGTGAGTGAGTGAGTGAGTGTGTGTGTGTGTGTGAGTGAGTTAGTGAGTGTGAGAGTGTGTGTGTGTGTGTGTGTGTGTGAAAGAGAGTGAGTGAGTGAGTGTGTGTGTGTGTGAGAGAGAGATAGTGTGTGTGTGTGTGTGTGAGAGATAGTGTGTGTGTGTGTGTGTGTGAGTGTGTTGTCTGATTCAGTTGTTTTACTAGATCTATACAAGTGTCTAAATCCAATGACTGATATTCAAAACTAATGAAGACTGAATGTTGTGTGATATTGAGCTGTGTCTGTGAGTGTCTGTAAGAGTGTGTGTGTGTGTTGCGTCAGTATTCGCTCTCGGTGTGTGTGTGTGTGTGTGAGAGAGTGTGAGTGTGTGTCTGTGAGAGTGTGTGTGTTGCGTCAGTATTCACTGTGTGTGTGTTGGGGGTCTCTAGCGGTCAGCTTACACTGTGTGAGTTGAGGGTCCTGATCTTCTGCTTCCTTTAGGCCCCATAATCACCCAAACAACCCATAATCCCGTCCTGAGACAGCAGTGGAACAGGAACGCCGCAGACTGCAGCGATCGTCTGTCAGTGCTTGTTTTGTGCTGCTGTTTTCCAGTTTGCGTGGGGCTGCAGGATTTTCCTGCGCTGCGTAAAGACGAGCCGCCGCTAGTGCAGGTGATGTCGGTGAAGAGGATCGCGGTCGGTCCGTTAGACCTGCAGCTCCACAGCAGTGCCGTCCACCGGATCCTGAAGATGGCCGCTTGCACGCTGGACCACGAGTACCAGCCCTACTGCAGACCGCAGCCGGGTAAAACACACACTCACACATCCATTAATCCTCACAGTGCCGCCTGGAGATTCAGTGTTTGGGGATTTGAGTAATTATAAATAAACCATGCTAAGAAATAAAATCAAATAAACAGTTGGTAATGAAACGAAGAACCAAAACCTCATGACAAGCAGCAGATCTCAGAGTGCTTGTGGTTTCTTTTATTAAAGTGACTGAGGCTCCTGTGGTCAGTATTGTGGTTTATTATTATTATCACTGACATCACAGACAGCAGCAGGTCTGTAAGCTGCATTTACAGTTTAACCT